TTTGGATTTTGCAATGACTTGACCTATCAAGACTTTTTTATTTTTCTATCTTTCGAGTGTTTCTAAGAGAAATTTAGAAGGCTCATTTAGTGTCATGGCCTTAGAATAATTTCTCCTTAACTTCTCTTTTCGACTAATTTTGGGGTTTTTTGAGAGTTTGTCTAGCTTTTGTGGACTTAATATTTTCTTTGCTCATTTCTGTTTTTCGAGCAATTCTAGAGGGACTCTGGAACTCAACTAGGCTGGCAGACTTAGAATATTTTCTTACCACTTCCTTTTTTTTTCGAGCAGTTTTTGAGTGTCAGGGACTTGGAAACTCCTTAAAACTCTTTGAAAAGGCCATCAATTTTGTGGATTTAGAATATTTTTTGACAACTTCCTGTTTTTTGAGCAGTTTTGGATGTTAGGGACTTGAAAACTCCTCAAAACTCCTCGAAAAGGCCATCAGTTTTGTGGATTTAAAATATTTTCTTGTCAGTCCTATTTTTCGATTAGTTTTGGGTGTTAATGACTTGAAAACTCTTCGAAAAAACCTTCAGTTTTGTGGACTTAGAATATTTTCTTGTTAGTCCTATTTTTCGAATAGTTTTGGGTGTCAGTGACTTGAAAACTCCTCGAAAAAGCCTTTAATCCTATTTTTCAAGCAATTTTAGAGGAAATTCAACGAGGTGACAAAAACCTCTAAAATAGCTCGAAATGTGTCCTTTTGATATGAAACAAAGGTCTTAGATAATTTTCTAATACTTCTCAAATTTAGACATATTTTTAAACTTCTTCTAGACTTTTAATATTTTATCGAAATATAACTTTCTTCTAACATGATTTTTAACTTAGAATTTTTTTTTTACTCCCAAACACATTTTCAACACGTGAGAACAATCATCATGCATGGCTAATGCAGTAGGTACGTATGTTTGTAGGTGTCAGCTTTAGATTCAAGTTATTTCTCATCAGTTTGAACGTGTTAAAGGGTGAGTGCTTACACAAGGCTCAACGTGACAGGGTAATCAATGGTGATACTGCAATATCAATTTCAAGGGGCACCTGTCTCATCCTCGCATCTTCTGATTAACGCGTGGGTCAGACACGTTTGATTAATTTGGCTACGCTGCCCACTACTTCTTATGGTATGTTTCATCAATTTTGTTATGTTCAAAAGAAGAAAAAGTTTTGCACGGTATGCTTCAACTGATTCAGAAATTTCGTACCTGCGACCTATCACCCACGTTGTCGCGTGCTTTTAGATAATAAAAAGTTTTAGAATTTTAGAAGAATTTGACATCAATAACAGATATTTAAGAAGTGAATTAAATATAAAAAAAAATAATAATAGTTATAAAAAGTGAAATATAATATAAGACTTTTTTAATTTTTCTAAAAATGTGTAATTTAAAATTTCTTGCATTTAACATAAAAAATTTGAATAAAAATTTTAAAATATTTTCATCCAAATATATGTAAATTAAGAATTTAGAAATTCTCTTTCAAAACAGAACATTAAGGTTAAGGTTGGGAGAGGAAGTAAGCCGTTTTGGTAACAAAGTATGTCATGATAAAGTTAATTTGTCTTGTCTCATTTTTCAAAGTAGACTAAAATATTTAAGGTTTAAGATTTAGGGTAAAAATTTATAAAAATAAATAAATTAGTTATGGGCAAATAAATCAACCTGCTAAAGATAAAAATAAATTAATTAATTAACAAGCCAATAGATTAATGGGACACCGAGACAGTTGGTCTAAAATTAACATAAATATAGAAAAAAATTAAAATTAAAAAACATATAAAAAATTAAATAATTTTATATTATTAAAAATTAATATTTAACAAATAAATAACTATTTTTAAAAAATTTTAAAAATAGATTTGACAAGATTAGCTTGTCTTTAACTCACATTTTTTTCAGCTGAAGCAAAGACCAACAAATACAACTACAAAACCTTTAGTACAGTCCACCATTTTCAACAGGTTAAGCAGCCAACTCGTAAATCTCAACTCATTTTACGACCCTTAATTCCTACGGCACTTCTCTTATCGTTCTCTGTTCACTAATGTATACATTCTATATATATAACAAAGAGTTTTTCTTCTATTTGGCAAAAGAAAAACAAAATGTTTTCTCTCACATGCTTTTCTAACTCAACCTAGATTTAAACTATTGCATTACATGTTATTGTTAAAAATTTTATTTTTAATAGTTAACATGGAAAAATATATATTATTTGTAGCATTTATATTAGCTTTTTACATTTTATTAGACTCAATAAATGTGATTTAATTTTGATGAGTCTTTAGACTATTAATTAAAAATAATTAATATAAATGAAAGAAACTGTGTTTAATTAGTGGAGATTGAATTTGACTTGTTAGAAGTTGATGGAAACATTTAAAATCATAAAGTTGGTCATGGTATCTAGTACATTAAAATAAGAAACATCTCTTTGTCTCTCTATTACAAGAGAAATATCAAGTCCTATTAAGGAATTCAATAATTTTGGCTGAGAAAGATCATTGTACAAAAAAACTACAATTCTAAAGATCATTATACCAAAAGGTTATTCCTGTAACTTCCGGTCAACGTTAATAGATTCAAATATTCTTAAAACTTCTTATTTTTATTTGATAATTTGACGTGATCGCATATGGTTTGAAAAGAAAATTTCTAACAATTATGAGTAAGTCCTGTAACAATTTTAGTTTAATTTATTGACCATTCATAATATGGAAAGTTAAAATGATTACATAAAAATATACTCGTTCTTCATGAGATAAGTTTAAATCATACTATTCTCTCTTTTTATTTTAATAATCACTTCTTAAACCGAAAAAGTTAATATGTGCCCTTTTATAATCCATTCTATAATCTTTTTTAATGTAATGAATTTGTTAATGACAGCAAAGAATTATGAATTTTTAATGAGTATTTTTCTTCTCTCGACAATTTATAAGGATAATTGATTGTATACAATCATTGTATTATCAATTTTGGTATTTATACTAATTTTTAAACTTAATTTATGTTTTTATTTCATCTTTTAAAGTTATAAAATCAATAGAGAAGTTTCCATACTGATTCCTGACATGCCTAGTGTCGCAAAACAAGTTGAACTTAAAATTGTGTAGATGTTAAACTGGTTTAAAGTATAGTATAGAAAAGGATATAGTTTTAAAAATAAAAATACAGACAATACTATATTAAGTTAAATATATAATTGGAAACTTATCAAGAGATATATTACACAAAATTGTTCATGTGCCATTATCCTTTAAAAGCTTAAATTTTTAAGGTAATTAGTTTGTAATTACCCTTGTATGATATAAGGTTTAGTGTAGATAAACTTGCATTATATTATTCAAACTTAATCAATTATATTAACTACGTAGAGAGAGAGAGAGAGAGAGAGAGAGAGAAGATTTATTGTCTATATTAATTTCATCTTATTTAAGTAAGATTATCTCATATAAAAAATATATGTAAGCTAAATAAAAAAAATTATATAAAATTTAATCTTCAGGTTGAATTATTTATAAATATTTAATCTAATTAATTTCATCTTTCAAGGGTTGTGATTGGACTTTTTTCTTCTTTATCTTAAATGAAGAATTCATAACAAGAATACAAGATTGTCATGTTTGTCATTTCTAATATTTAGAACATTATTCAAAAAATATTTACGAAAATATTTATTTTAATCTTTTAAATTATAAATGTTAACTATTTCGACTTTTAATGTTATAAAACATATTATTTTATTTTTTAATTTTACAAAGAGATATTTATTATAGTCTATTTAATATAAAAATAATATAAAACAAATTATAAATGACAATAATATATAGTTTTAAAAATTTTAAAAATTAAAATGAAACTTTTATAAATTTTAGAAGTAGTTCGAATTTGATAAACTCCCCATAATCTTATGACTACCTAAATGACTTGTGTTTTTCAAATGAGTCGAAGTCTCTAGAAAATGATTGGAAATCCAATCTCATCATTACAACCAAATTGAATTTCAGTACCAAATTACTTTATCTGATTTTAAAAAAATAAAATAAATGTTTTCCAAAGTGATATGCATTCAAGTTCTTTCCACACATTCTCGTGTATTAAGAACTATGTGTATGTAATTCTCCAGTTTAATATTTCATTTCATTATAGAAAAATAAATGTTCAATACTTTGTAAACTTTTAAAATATCAAATAATCTGTCTTTTTCGTTTTATTGTTTTTCTAAATGAATCAGGTTAATGATTGTACTCATGTTGCGTATGCTAAGTGATTAATGATCCTTAAGATTATTAATTAAATATTTTTAACAACTATAAGAAATAATTATAATATTTTCTCAGTATAAAAAAACTATGCTATCTTCCATTCAAAATTTGTCATATTAACAATAACAATTAATTTAAAAATCATACCTATCATATATTTTATTTGATGGCAATTAATATTAGTGTTTTAAAGTTTATTATTTTTTCAATGTAGTAAAAGTTTGGTTTTTATTTAATACTTTTTCCCACTTTTTTCGATTAACCATTCATTTAAGAATACTCTTTAAATTTTTACTAAATTATTTCTTAAGAAAATCATATTAGGAGCACATTTTGATAACACTGTATTAAAATATTATAATTTAATTGATAGATAATAGTTATTTTATGTAACTAGGGGAGAATGCAAGCGTTTATATGTATATATTTTGTAATGTTTTTATGTATTTTTCTATAAATTTATCATCTATTTATAAATTTAAAATATCTATGCAATATATGAACACCTAGGTGATATTCTCTAAATAAGTGTAATAATGTGAAGAAAAACAGTTTTCGATGATAAATAAATTTTTTTTATGATTCAAGGTTAATAATTTTTTTGATATGATTCGTTTTTAAATAATCAATTAAATAAATAAAAAACTAATTATTATAACAAACTTTATATTTTCGTACCTGGGACCTATCACCCACGTTGCACCATCCCTACAAGATTTCTCTTATTGTTCACTGATCACTAATGTATACATTCTACATATAATAAACAGAAAAAGAGCTTTCTCTCACCTACTTTTCCACTCAGCATAATATGATTATGTTCGTATACATAACATATTGATGAGTCGTCTTATAATTCACAGATAGAGCAAAAGAAAAGCCTTTGACTCAAAATGATAATCAACACACATGCTTGAAGAGAAAAATAAAGAACCACCCCTGTTGAGGCGTTTCCTTTCATTCTTTCACGGGTGGAATACGACTAAGAATAGAGGGCAGATATTGAAGTAACCCTACCATGAAAAAAAAATTACAAAGTCAAAATGTAAAAGAAAAATAATATTTTTGTGACTTTGGAAAGTGAATTTCTTGTTTGCTACAAGAGATGATGATGCTTTTCTTTCCATGATGCTTTTCTAGTCGATAGATTCTCTCCAACATCTCGCTGGGAGTCCATTTAGTGGCAAGGGAAATGGGCCATATTGAATCCCACACTCAGATCCTACCACTTCCCATCTGTACACACCAACATGAAGCTTTTAGTAATCACATGACATATTACTACGTCACCTTAATTCTTTCTAGTCTCACCTAAGATCTATCTTTTCCAACTTTCTCTAAAGTTATAGATTCTTTTAGGTTGTTTCCTTGGTGTTACTAACATAGTTATGTGTCCTTTTGATTAAGATTTTGATAAAACATAATTCATTTTGAATTGTTAAATGTTATTAAAATGTCTGTCTAAATTAATATTGGTCATAAATTTTATATTGAAATACGTGTCACCATACGTGAAATTGATTTTACTTGTTATCCAAATGGGCCCTTAGTCATTATATTTCTTTAAGTCACTCTTGTCTTTTGGCGTTAATGAATAATCCATTCATTTCTCTATTTTTCCTTTATTTTTTTATTTTCTTTTCTGTTGATTAATTGGCAGTACCTAAACTTGGTGACGAAATGATGGATCATAATCAGTGTCTCCAGCTTAGCAAGCTCATTGCCAGGGCAGGCATGTACTCCACTACCAAATGGCATGAAAGTATTGGGTTTTGGTCCCACCTATGTGATCAAAACAAGAAAATGAATAACTATTGACCTGTTTGAAAATCATGAAGTGTCTTCTGTCGTACACAATGATAAGATTCATTTGAGAGAAAATTAGACTTATCCACCCATTATCATTACTATTGTTTTCACGTATAAACTGTTCATTCTAACATACCTCAAATCTTGAAGGGTTGAATTTCTGAGGCTCTGGAAAAAATTCTGGATTGTGATGAATATTTCTAAACAGAGGCATTGCTTTCCACCCTTTTGGAATTAGGAACCCTGTTTCAAATTCTTATGAGTCATTTATTTATATGTGATCTTAAAATTTAAAACCAATGTTTTCACTTTGGACCTTTATTTAGCGTACAAAATTCTTGACACTTTGCACGGTTCAGTTTTGAAGTCTTGCAAATATTGGAAATATATGTGCATGATTGAAAATTATTATTTTTTGAAAAATAATAACTTTTTTTAAAAAAATCTCCTCTCTCTCTCTCTGTATGTGTATATATATATATATATATATATATATAAAACTAAACATCCATTAAATATTTCTCTTACCTTTATACTCAACATCAGCTATTGCTTCTCTGAAAGGGAATGATATAATGCTTGCCATTCTCAAGCTTTCTAACACAACCTGATCAAGTCCATAATTTCCTATTATTAGTACCAAACTCACACATGAAACTTGCTTAAACCATAGGAATCAACAGAAACTTGTAACATTTGTTCATTTTCTATTTATTTTGTTTGACCAATTAAACAACTAATTATAGACACATAGCCTTGGCCCTTATAAGATGCAAAATCTAGAAAAGCCAAAATTATTTAGCCAAGTGTGAAATTGAGACACTAAATCAACCCGTACCTTGTGAGTAATTGGCATGTTTCTAGTCTGATTCCAACTTAGTGGTATGTTACCTTCATTTGACTTGTGAATTGCCTTCTGCTCAGCCTGCAAAGCGAGCATTACCATAAATTATATTCATTAGTAACATCAATAAATATTTTAACATATCCTTTTTCCCCTAGAGAAGATAAGCTCAACTTAAAGTTCCCTTTATTTTTTGATTGATCATATTCATACCTTTACAGACTCCAGAAGTTTTGGTTCATCGTGCAGATACTTTACAGCCCATGTCATGACACTAGCTGTAGTGTCCTGAGCAGCAAAGAGAACCCCAATAATGTTATCTGCAATTTGATCATCAGATAAGACTTCTCCTCCTTCACCTTTCCAATTCAATAGGCAACTCAAGAGATCTCTTTCAAGCAACTTCTTCTCCTTTCTCTCACATATTATATCACTTAGAATCTTACCAAGTCTCCTTCTTGCCTACAAATAATATGTATACATATAGGGATTCAGAATAATGCATAATTAACACGTGAATTTATTGAACTGTTGAAGTTAGTATTAATATTAGAATTACTTACCAAAAGTGCCTTTTTGTATTGGGTTCCAGGGATGCGAGTTGGAAAGGCATTGTAGCCAGTGTCCACAATCCAATAATTCTTCTTTAGCTCTTCCTTCAACCGAGGCTCTAGATGGCCGAAGATTGTGAGGATACCAACTTCAAAAGAAAACTGCAAGCATTCATGTGTGGACCACTTAAATTATTGACCTCATTATACATTACATGATGCACTTATAGTAAAATATAACATCAAGTCATAAACAAATGTACGCACCAATATAATAAAATAATCGATCTAATCATTGGTCCAGTGTCAATGAATTAAAATAAAAAGAACTTACTCTTTTCATTTCCTTAAATGTGTTAATGACATGGCCATCACCCCAAGTTTTCATGGAAGATATGACTAAGGCTTCAATATCAGGCACCAAATTTTGAAGTGTCTCAAAGGAGAGAGACCTCAAAACTAGCTTCCTCAAACGCATGTGGTAGTCTCCTTGGTGGAAAAACAAGGCACATGGACCAATCAAATGTTCCTTGCTTTTGGGGTATGTTGGCTTGAACAAGTGAGCTTGAGTTACTAGCACAAAACGTGCAGCCTCAGGGCTTGTCAACATCACACAGGGACAACCCAAGATGTTGGTCTTGAATATTTCTCCATACCTAAAATAATAAACCATAATGTTTTGTTACATTCACATCTTCATGCACTATATATCTGTGTGTGCGTTGAGAGAGAGAGAGTCATGTTATGGTTATAAGGTGAAGTCGCATAGCATGATAGCAAATTAGCAACCTTTTCTGTTTGGTGGAGAAGTAAACATTTGGGTCTTGGGAATAGAGTTGGAGGGTGTCTCCTATGTACGGCCATCCCATTGAACCTGGAGGAAGCTTGGCACTTGTCTGGTTTTGAGATTGTCTTCTATTTTGGTTTGTTAAAAACATGAATAAAAACAAGGTAAGCAAAATGAGAATAATAATGTAACCAAAAAATTCTTCCATTGGTTTTACAAGACTTTCTTCTTTAGAAAGTCAGAAGGTTAGACTTTGCTTTAAAAGAAAATAAAATAAAATAAACAAAAGAAATGCAGAGTTTTTTGAGCTCTGCTAATTTGGATTCATCAAGAGAAGGGAGGAGAAGCAACCTTATATAGTAGAAAGAGAAACAATAACTACACAATTTTTGTGGCTAAAGTTTGTGTGGGACCTCTTGAGTAAGAAGTAATATCTACTACATAAGTAATATCTACTAATATTATTTAAATAGTCTGATATAATTTTTATCTAATAATAAAAAATGCACAGCATAAAAGATTATTGTGAATACATTGCTAAAAGTTTCTTCAAAATAAGACAACTTATTGCTTAAGGTTATTAATTATGAGCCAATAAAATACAAATTATATTTTCTGACATAAAAAAATTATTATATGGTATGAATAATGTTTTTAAAATTAAATTAAATAAGATATAAATTAAGGAGAAGGATCTTCTTACACTAGTGTAAATTTAAAAACTCTTACATTTGATTTGAGTCTTTCATTTAATTTATATCTAATAATTAGTAAAATAATAAATTATAACCTATTAGATGTAAGTTAAATGAAAGGTTTAGATTAAATATAAAAAATTATATACTTATACTAATGTGAGAAGATCTTGTCCCATAGATTAATTATATTTTTAAATCAATCATAATTTAAATTTTAAGTTTTATTTACTATAATTTAGACTTTGATCGTATCTATGAAACAAAATTTATTGAGATAAAATTAATATATACTCAAAAAATAGTTAGCATTCACCTATTGATTGAGAAATGTACTTATTGTAAAATTAAAAAAAAAAATACTATTTTGTGAAAGTTATGATAACGGTAAATGTTATTAAAAATATTGGGTTGAAAAGAGATAAATTTTTCTTCAAACTTTTATTCTAAATTACATTTTATCTTTGATTGTTTACAAAAATATAAATAGATAATAGTATGATAAATATATTAGTTATACTATCATTTTTAACATTGTTAATATTTTTTGCAAAATGTAAAAAAAAAAAGTGAAAATGAAAATTTGCTTAAGCTAAATATTTTTGTTTAAGTTAATTTTGAATATGAGTTTTGAAATTTGCTTTAAGTCATTAGAAAGTGACTTAAGCAAACCTCACACCCAGAAAAATAAAGAAATAATTTGTTTATGTAAATTTTTACTTAAATAAATTTAGAATCTTTTAAGCACAAAGTACGAGATATAAATACGAACAAAGAAATTTTTTAAAAATAGTTGGAGTAGGCTCAGAAAAAAAAAAATCTTTAATGATCTTTAGAGCTAAAGTGAAGAATTTTACAAGTTTTTTTGTTTCTTTTGGCTGTGGTTTGGTAATTCTCATGACAATTAGTAACTAATCTCCTTTTAGTTAAAATTGAACAAAGTCAACTTACTCTCATGTATATTTTAAAATACATATTTTTTTTTTATCTTATTAATGTTAGTGATTCTTTCATGTTCTTAATGCTTGTTACATTTTGATCACACAGAACATGATTCATAATTTAGTGTTTAATTGAAAAATACTCTCTGAATCAAAGTTTGAAATCATTCACCTAACTTAGCATGTTGATAGGAATAAGACATCATTTTATTAATTACAATGCACAATATTTAATGTGAGAAATTTTTATGAATATTTATGAGACTGATATTTGTAGTAGTAACTCAAAATCTTCGTGTACTAGAAATATATATAACAACATTAATATTGATACAAAAATGAATATTTATTTGTGTGTTTTGAAATATACATAGAAAGAATGTTAAGTGAAGTTCAATACCAACATTTTTTTTATTAATATTTATCTTACTATTTATATTTCTTCTTATATTTATCAAACGAATTTTGCTATATGTAAACAATCTTTAAATGTTATCTTCTTGAAAACTTTTTGTATATATTTTAATAAATTTACAAAAACATGATGAAAAAATATTAAATATCAAACAAATCCCTGTGAATACTGCAACCTTACTTCTTATTATTAAAACGAAAGCTTATATATATGTTAAACACTAACAAATGACTTCAACCATACACTTCTTACACAAATTAATAAATTAACGTGACCTCTAAATTTCATTCTCTCATTTAAACTAATTACATAAATGTGAGTTATGTATTTATGAATGAGGACATGAAAATCCTCTATTTCTTTTATTTTCTCTTATCTTCTTTATATATTTCATTCTTTTTGACAAATTCAAAAACATATAGTATATCATTGTATGAGTCATAATTATTAACTTTACTAATAATTAATTTAAAATTATACTTACTATATATTTTAATTAGTTAACGGTATAAAAAAAATTATACTGATAGTTTATCAAAATTAAATTCTCTCTCCGTATATATATATATATATATATATATATATATATATATAATTTAATAATTTTTGTTCTATAAAAGAATAAAATTTTCATATATTATTTAAAAATTGGAAAACGAAAGGACCACTCTCTCTTTTCTTCATTCTTATAATTTAGCGTGTTTAACAAGACATTTCAAGTATCTTATTTTGTTAGCTAAAAAATTATTTAATAAAAACAATATTATTTAACAAATTAGTTGAACTAAATTTTTTTAGCATTATTCATACTGAAATTTTTTATTATTAGTAACTAGTTAGAAGCATTATTTTTAATTTTATTCCAATTATTTTTAAGTAATTTTTCATTACCTATTTAATTTTTTAAACCCTACTTTATTTACTTTTGTTACATTAAAAATAAGATAAAAATAAATAAATATTATAACATTTATTATTTTAAAAGATAATAAATTATTAATATCTTCAATATAAAAAAATAGTAATATCTTCATAAAGATTTACAAATATCATTAAATTTTATTTTTATAATAAAATATTTATAAATAAGAGAAAATTAAAACTTTATCATCCTAATTTAAAGGTGATAAATAAGTTTAAATAAATTAAAATATAAAAATTGTAATTTTTAAAAATATATTATTATTATTATTATTATTATATTTTAAATTTTAGTATACTTATTATGATATTTGTCAACTAACTTAATAATTAATTTTATCAAATACTTGCTATATAGATGATGTTCCTTTATTAAAGTAAAATTGTCCTTATTCTTTAACATCAAAATTTTTTAATAATATATACCTTTTAATATATTATTTTTTATAGAAACATGTATGTAATTTTTTAGAAAAGAATTACATACATGCTTTTATAAAATACATTTTTTTTTGTGAAATTTAAAATAATAAATCAAATAAAAAAATATATCAATAAAAAATAAATTAATATATAAGAATATATAAAAGATAAAATAAAAAAATATTAAAATTATTATATTTTAATTAAAAACTATAAATATTAATACCTTTCATAAATTGACTTGTTTAAAATACAAAAATAAAGTAATATTATAAAATAATTTTTGACAAAATTTTAAAAATTATTTATATAAGTGAAGATGAATTATTCTTATAATTGATTTAAAACTTATTTAGTTATATAATAGAAAATAAAAAATTAATTTAATAAAATTTTTCATTTAATTTATATTATAATTGTTTATCGCAACGTCTATCGGTGATGTTTAAATTCTGGATTTAGATTTATTTTTATCATATTAAAATTTTATTAATTTACTAGTTATTTAATAATTGGTGCTTGTATATTTTAAATAAAAATTTAATAATATGTAAAATAATATTTTTGTAAATGTACCTACTAATTATTATATATATATATATATATATATTATTTTTTAAAATATATTTTATTTAATAAACAATTTTATCCGTCAAAATATTTACTTAATTAATAAAATTATTTAAATTAAAACAATTAAAGTAATTGATGCATTTATTCCATTTTTAACATTTTACGATTAAATTTTTTCACTTTTACAGACAATCAACTTCAATAAATTTTTTTAAAAATATAATTCATGATCAATAATTTGTTTCTGCTATAACATTTATGGGTACTAACATAAAACTCTTATATAAAATCAGTTGTAACCAATTTTCTTTAAATTCATTCCACCAGTAATTTTTTTTCTTGTTTTTCGGATTTCAATATCACCAAATAGTTTGCAGAATTTAAAATTATGAATTAATTATAATTTAGGTCTATACATGATAAGATTATTTTAATATAAATATAAACATAAATACATAGAATATCAAATAATGATTTTTTAGTGAATTTTATATGAATATGTAGATAGATATAGATAGATTGGTTGTTCAAAAATAATTTTGTAAAAAAAATGTATACTTATTAAAATATTATTTTAGTTATCTATTTATATATTATATATAATTAAGCATTTTAATTTATTATATAGTTAATAAATTAATTATAGACATATTAAGGCTACAAAACACACTAATATAAGTGTTGTAATGGCAGAAGTGTTGGTCCTTCGCTTGCACTTAGAAGTCTTCAGACATATTAAGGCTACAATGTATTTGATTTTTTTAAACTTATCTTTTTGTATGTATTTTATTTATTTTTATCATATCAGTTCTCATTATTTTTTAAAATTTTAAAATAAATTTTGATGATTTTTATGAATTAAATATATTCAATTGTCATTATTTTTATTTTTTAGATAATTTTTATGAATATTAATAGTTATAAATTTAATCTTAATAATTATTTAAATTTAATCATTTTTTATAAATTTTGATAATTTTTATGAATTAAGTCTAATCAATTGCTATTGTTGAAAAGATATTTATTAATCATATAAATAGTTACAAGATAAATATATTTTTTTGTCAGGTATCATTTATTTGGGACAATCATTTTTAAGCCTAGTAAAATCAGGTTGGCAAAACTCTTGTTAAGAGACTTAATACAGCTGCATTTGATTCATATACTCGATGATATAAAATAAATATTTAATAAAATATTTAACTTTTATTATTTAGTTTATTGTTACTTTTTATAAATTTTAATAAATATTTATTTCGTTATAAATACATAAAATATTAAATGCTTGCAGTCTATTATATTAAAACTAACCAAGAAACCTTTTGTAAGTGTCATTAAGGTTTCTTGAAATCAATATATA